TAATCTCTCGAGTTGTGAGCCCTAGGGCTTTGTACGCCGAAATTTGACCTCGCTGGTATGGAGATAACTCCTTGCCATAGCTCCTATTAATTTCAAGAGGCGCCAGAGCCTTGCGTTGAGCCATGGTAGTTGTTTGAAAAAGGGTGTAAAAAAACGCGTGTTCAAAAATGACGCGTTTTGTCCGGATACTTTTGCACGTGGCTGTACATACTCCAGAATCTCCTTGCTTATTTTGGGCCACTATAGACCAGCGAGTACTTCACGCAGCCTTATGTAGCCGCCATATAGCTGCTGATCATGCGCAGTCTCTAGTATAGCCTTCCTGAAGCTTCAAGGGATAACAAAACGCGGCTTAGCCTATTAAGCATCAATTCAGACTAAGTCAGAGCCACTCTCTTAATAGAACAAAGCGTAAGGCCTATCTGGCAGTTGCTAGAGATTAGGAGCAGGTAAGGGCATAGCCTAGAGCTGCTCAAGTATCTTGCCAAACTCCTCCTTGACTTCTTTACAGAGTCAAGCAAGTTTTGCGTCCTCTAGCTCTAGTAGAACTATGCTGAGAAAGGCTTGCTTTTCTTCCTCAGGTTGGCGCTGGCTATGCAACATAACAGAGAGTCTAGATAAGGCATCTGGCACGACTATGTCTTAACCTTCTTTGTAGATGACAGTCATATTATCCCAATACTGACTCAGAAACACGGCCCATCCTTGCTGGCAGGTATTCATCTTGAAAGGAGATTGTGTACATAACAATCTCGCTGCCAGGATAATAGGATTCGCGCGATGGTTAGTAGAGATGACAGCCTTCGTCTGTTCAATGTAGATCCGTAAATACTTGACTGCCTAAATAAGTCCAGATAGCTCCAGATCTGTTGGCTAGTAGTTGCGCTTAGCAGGCGTTAAGCACTTAGAAAGAAAAATGATAGGCCTCAGCATTATTCTAAAGGGCTTGAGAGGGTCTTTAGCTTCTACGCCTTTAAGTTAGTACATAATGACGCTAAAACCAAGCTCTTTCAACACATTAAGGAACATATACAGAGTCTTCGTAAGATTGAAATAGCGCAGAATATCTGCTGATTCAGTAAATGCGCTTTTAAGGTTCTCAAACGTAGTAGTATACTTATTCTCCTAAAGTTCTCTAAATGCCTACGTTTCATAGCTCTTTCTCTCTTGTGGCTTTTCTAACAGAGATCCCTTCTCTCTTTGAGGGCCTTGAAAGACGATTGTTTTAAGCTACTATAGAGTCTTAGAGTATTACGCGAAATAAGGAACTTGCTAATAATGCCAACTTATAAAGCTTATAAAGCGTTTAAAGTTGTGGCTATTCCTAGGGATATCCCACTTAGCTATAGCCGCTAGCTTCTCTTTTGTAGTTAAATATCTGAGTCAGCTAACAAGTTTTCTAAGCGTTATAAGCTCTTAAAAGTTAAGATAGGTCTTTATAGCTTTAAAAGTATAACTAGTGTTAGCAAATTATTAAAATATAGCATCTAAATCCTGCAGGTGCTGGCTAAATAGCTCTTTGGTAAAGATATTAATATTATTAACATAGACATTAATAATCTTCTATAGTAATCTGGCAAGTAAGCGTTTAAACGTTCGTTAATTATAAGCAGGAGAATTTTTGAAACCTATTAGCATTATACAGAATAGCTTTAGGCCTTGATATAATGCTATTACAGTTTAGTACTGATTATTAGGATACGTAAAGTACTAATAGAAGCTAGATACAAAGTCTATAGAAGAGATATAGATAACTAGGGCCATTATAATAAGGATATCCTCTTAGAGAGGCAGAGAGTACATATTTGACTCCGCCATATTATTAAAGGGCCGCAGATCTATTATAGGTCTTACCTTTTTAATAGCTCCTTTTAGGGTATACTTATATACTATAAATACTGATAAGGAGTAAGGTAAATACTTTGCTAGCGCTATCTAACTAAGTTAGATATTCTTGTTAAACGTATTATTAATTGCCTGCTTTGTATATAGAACGTTATAATAAGGGGGTTAAGGCTTAAGATTTCGTTCTAATTTAGAGGCGACTTTAATTTGTAGCTACTCCTCTTCTGATTAACACGCTATATCAAAGATATTATTGAAAATGACTACAAAACGCTTTACTAGTTATTAGAGCTGCTTTTGCTAGTCTAGGGGCAGTTTTTTATTAATGTGTACCTCTTAATAAGTAGATATAAAGAAGTTAGAGACCACTATACCCTTAGGAAGCTTATATTAATACTTAGGCTAATATATTTCTTTAAGCCAATCTAAATTAGTGTCCTTAACCTTTTTAGCAGAGGTCTCTAAACTGTCTACATAGTTTGGCGACTCTTAACTTAGAAAGCTGTTTAACACTTTAGTTGCCTGTGCTACGTACGCGAAATAGCCTATACAGATTAATTCTGCTATGTTAAGTATTATGCCACACTTGATCTGACAAGGTGCAGCATCCTGATTTAAGTACATAACCGCATTCTAAGCGGCAGAAATGACTCCATCTAGTATCTTAGAGAGTTTAGATATAAATAATAAGTCTACTTTGCTAAAGTAATTTATTTAAAGAGCAACTTAATCTATAGAATTAGCAGAAATAATATAATCTTTGCCTATATAAATAACGAAATTAGTTATCAGCTCTCAAGTTACTTGCAGATTAACTACAGTAATAGGCTTTCTAACCTTGCCAGATTAATAGAAAGTAATTAATTAACAAGGAATATCTAGAACAAGATTCCAGACCTTGATATAGTCAGTACTAATTAGCAAGCTAGTACCTAAGTCTTCAAAAATAAGTGCTTTTATCTTAAGCTTTAAGAAGACTCCTTAATTGCTTTAGAGATAAAAAATGAATTTTGCCAGCTTAGAAACTTTCTTCCTTCCTTTAATGCC